ACCTAAATGAAATGAGCAACCAAGTAATCTTAGGAATGTCTTGAGGAAGAAAATTCCAAGAAAAGGTTGATAGGACCATCTAGCATTCAAGACTCAGTAAGGAGGCAATGCGGCTAGAGCAGAATATACTAAGTACATTATTAAGGGAGGAGGAGCACAACATGTAGGGTATTAAATCACGCTGAATTTTTAAACTTTAACGTTGAAAACAGGAAGCTATTGATTTTCAAGCAGCAACTCCTTCAGGCAATACATTTTTCAAACATTAGAGTAGGACCAATCTATCTACCACACACTGGTGGGGAGGGGCAAAAGAAACCTAAACCTATTCCAATAATGCGCAAGAGACGATTACAGCTTGAAACTGGACCAAGCCATGGCAGTGTGGTCAATACTTGTTGTATTTTAAAGGAAGCGCTGACAGGATACTACACAAGGCCAAAGGTGAGGTCTAAGAAAAAAAGACAAGGATGGCTAACCAAGTCTGACCTATATGACATAAAAACTGGAGTTTCATTAACCAAAATGGGCAACACTGGTTTGAGAGACTAGCAGGAGCTGTTTGGGACTTTTAAATTGATAATAGTTAACATTCAAGGAGTCGTCAGCTAGGTAACTAGACACACTGGCATGTCATTCAAAAAAGTCCAGGCTGGTGATGCAAGTGTGGGAATCTCATTAGCTTACAGATGGTATATAAAATCATCTGATTGAATGAAATGACCCAGGGAATGTGAGTAAAAAAGAGAAGGGGAAGGAATGAACACAAGAGTACTCCAACAGAGCGGAAGAAAAGCCAGATACAGAACAAAAACCTAAAACTATATAAAAAATATTTCAAGGAGGAAAGTGGCTCGACTGGTTAAATCACACCAACTGGTCAAGTGTGATGAGGACTACAAGACGACCGCTGGATTTGGCAATACACCACTCTGGGATGTGTATTTTTTTAAAACCACAAATGCAATTATTTATTTCAACTAAAACTTTTAGGTTAAAGTGTGTTTAGTTCCCTGAAATACGATCACATCCAAACATTTCATAAAATTATACCACAAAGCTACCTCTAATTTATTACCTTGGACTCTTCATCATGTCATTCAAAGTGATAAGAATAAACAAGGGGCGCCTGGGTGGCTCAGTCATTAAGCATCTGCCTTCCGCTAGGGTCATGATCCCGGGGTCCTGGGATCGAGCCCCGCATCAAGCTCCCTGGTCCGTGGGAGGCCTACTTCTCCCTCTCACTCCCCCTGCTTGTGTTCCCTGTGTTTTTGTCAAATAAATAAATAAAATCTTAAAAAAAAAAGAATTAAGATATATTAATGATGGTATTTAGTTGGAAACTCTTTAAAAATAGAAGTCTGAAGCAGTTTTTTTGGGGGGGAGGGGGTAACTTTAGCCCAATTGAAGATTTTTCAAAATACTTCATTATGTCAAGTAAAGAACAATCAATCTAGTATGATTAAGAGTTGAAATCTGTAGGCTTAACGGCCTGGGTTGAATCCATGTGCCACCATTTATTAGGTATGTCTAACTGTGAGCAATTTTTAAAATTGTGTTTCAATATTCTCATCTCCAAAATACTAATGATAATACACAAAGTTTATGATGATTAAAAAAGTTACAAGAACATTAACAATGATGGACATATTTACGGTAGGTGTCCAGATTATTACTTCCAAAAGGAAAAAATTGAGGGTCTACTTCACTTTTTCTTTCAGATAGAAAAGTGATCAGTAGTTTCCTATAGTCTGATCAACCTGTCCTCTTCAAACTAATTACATCTGCTCATTAATACACACACACAAAACTCATTTGAAACAACCGGGCAAGTATCCCCAGGCCTAGGATTACTACTTTTTTCTAAGAGATTAAAAGACAGTGACCTACTCTGATAGGTCTAATATAGCGTCCTCCTCGAACTTTGTCCTCATTACTAACATTCCCCAGACAATAGCCAGAAGGAAATTCCAAAGTTAATAGGATCTCAGCATTCTCCAAGGTCCTTCAAGATTCCCTTTGTTCCCAAGACAACCTAGATATTAAATAAGGATCCTACAAGGACCTGTATACCATGCCTGCTAATTGCTTATCTTTCCAACTTTGTCTCTTATTCTATGCATTCTTGGTGACTATTTCTCCAGTAGTATTTTTTGCTCTGAAGTCAAGATTTCCCTCCGTTACCTGTGCTTTCAGGAAGGATAATCCACTTCTAGATAATTTCAACATCAACGTCACTTCACTGGAAGCACCCTACCACCTCCATATTCTAAATTCGGTTCCCTTTCTATAATCTTACTCTCTTCTTTCCCTTCTAGATTATATAATGCTTTGTCACTCAATTTCTCCCCTCAATGCTCTGTCCAAAAGGACAGGGGACAGTATGTTTTGTTCATCCCTAGGCCCCAGCCTAGGATTTTTCAGAATAAGCACTCAAATGTCTAATGAATAAGCGTCTCTACTTGAATGTTCCACGTGCGCCTCAAAAAACCCATTGTTTAAATTGCTTTCTCCTTTTCTTACCCTAATCTGCTCCCTTCATCTATCCTGGGAGTCACACTGAATCTCTTGCTCATTATCACAGCAACCATCAAATCCTCCTAATTTATCAGCTCCTCTAGTCCCAATACCATTGCTTTTGACCAGGCCAGCTCATTATTTTTCTGTGTATTTTACTATCTTCCTCATCACCTACCTCCAATCTCATTCTCCTCTAAGCCATTTCCACATCATCAGAATGACATTTCCAAAATGAAAATCTGATCTCACTCCCTGGTTTAGAACCTTTAAATAGCTCATCAATAGTTTTTGGATAAAATACAAACTCCTTAGCATGGCATTAAAATTTTTATAATCTGGCCTTAATTCTAAGGTTCAGTTCAGTTCCCTTTCCCTTAGAAGCATTTCCTGCCCTTTAAAGAGTCAATCAGGTACTCATTTTTACATGCTTCTATAGGTTCTATGTTTACCCTCTGATCACATGATGACATTGTCTCGTTCATCTGTCTCCCGCACAAGGTTCCAAGTCCCTGAAAAACTACCATACCTTTTTGTGTCTCCCCAAACCAGAACATGACCCACAAGAATTTGCAGAATTAACAAGGACGGACTGATAGTGAACAGCAGCCACACAATGACAAATGAGTAACAGGTAAAAATAGCTTTCATGTAACAGAGGACATAATACTTGGACCTATAAAAGAAAATTTTCCATTCCTCTTCCAGATAACCTCAGGACATTTTATGTAACTTTCTCCCATTCTGTTTTCCTTTGAGGATGCCTTCGGTGTTGTTTTATTCTTTTAGTACAAATAAGTAGTATGTGATTTATCCTACTAACACACAGCATTGAACATGCCTTTAAAAAATCATTTTCTTCCTTCAGCTCAAAATCTACAGCAACTCTAAAGTGTGTTATCAAAATATTCCACTATAGTCAGTAAAGTATTATAGGTTGAGGGGTGCCTAAGTGGCAGTCGGTTGGGCATCCGACTCTTGGTTTTGGCTCAGGTTGTGGGATCAAGCCATGCACTCAAGTGTGGAGTCTGCTTGGACTCTCTCCCCCTCTGCCCTCACCTTCTAAAATGAATAAATCTTTAAAATACTACAGGTTGCTAAAATTCTGAATTCTTTAGGTACTCATTCCTTCCCTATTACTATTGAGAACGCATTAGATTCCCCAACATTTGCTGGGCCACAAGTCATCACTGAAAAAGAGATCAACCCTACACCTTTCCTGATTTGGATACAGGTTAAAGAAATTTCACTGCTTTTTGAGATTAAAAATCTACCTATCCTTTAAAACAAGCAAAAAAACCTCCCAGTGAGATAGCATTTAATATTACAGCATGTTTGTGATTTGATTCATGTTAAATTTCAGTAACAAGTCTAACTGGAGTACAATCAAAAACTATGGTCACAAACCCAAGGACGATTACTCTGAATGACAAAATTTTTACTAATTTGTAATAATCTAAGAATAAACCCATCCAATATGTCCTTGTCTTGCTATTTAAAACAAACCATTTTCATTCTGAAGTATATGTAAACTTCAGCTGCTCTTTCCAATTATCAAAAATTCTCAGTCAGCCCAAGTTAGTTACAACCTTATAATTCCATTAGCTTATAAAAAACTGAGCTGGCATCCTTTGGAAAACATCTCGAGATACACAAAAATCTTAACCCAAACATTTCCAGAAGCTATCACCTACACTGTATCAACTAGACTTAAATGGGTGTTACTTCCTAGTCTTTGCAATGAAACCAAGTGGACCTCACACCTCTTACCATCACCCAGGAAGGGTGTGCATCTGTTCCGAAGGCCCCCCTGGCTCCAGGTCATCCTGGCTGCTGCTGTTCCAGGCTGGGCATCCATGTTGCTGCAGCTTGTGGTTTGTGAGGGGTAGTAGTGTACAGGAAAAGCAGGATGGGATTTCAAGGGAAACAGGAAGAAAATGGCTTTCTGGGAAAATGCCATCACCATCATAGGTGTTAAGTAGTACCACACACATTTTATTGCAGCACAGTTTAAAAATTTAACAAATGAAAGATTAAAAATAAAAAAAACAAAAATAAAAAATAAAAAATACAGACGTCCAGAGATGCTCTTAAACAGTTAAGTTAAAGATCAGGAAAAATAAGGTCACAGACTTAACAGCCAGTAAAATTCTTTCGAGCCTGGGGAAGGGGATGAGGGCAAGGGTGGGGTTGGGAGAGAAAAGGTTTATGTGATCAATCCACTTAAAAATGCTAATGCCTTCACCTTCTCTCCCAAGATGCAAAACTCCAAAGTCAATCAGGAGGCCGGAGAAATTCTTATGAACATTCAGAAAAACTCGATTTTAATCCGGTTAAAAATCATCAGTGTCATTATCATCATCATCATCACCATCATTAAGTATAATAATAATAATAAATAATAATAGTAACTAGTAACAACAATAAAAAGGAAATCAGCGGAAAGTCAGGAAAAATGTAAAAAAAAAATTGGAATAACTTACTGTAGCTGAAGATCAAAAAAATCTCACTGTAAAAAAACAAAAATAAAAATAGCCCAGATTAGAAAAACGGGAGGTGCAAAAATGTCAAGTCAGTAAAGTTCATTTCTTTTCTTTTTCCAAAAGCAGTTTCCACAAAAACCGCAAGGGTAAAGTTCTCAGTAGCAGACAAGCAAAGCCCTTTCCACATCATCAATCAATCTTAAAAATACACGAGGAAGTAGAGAGGTCAGTTTATGAGAGGCTAAAAGGCTCCTCCTCCTCTAACCCAACTGCTGCAGAAAAAATAGAATAGAAATTTTAAAAATTACATCTTAAATCCAAGTCCCGTTTTTGGAAACAGTTAAAAAAAAAACACCTGTAAATTTGCCGTAGTGCACACCAAGTTGCATCATTATGTTTAAAATCTCTTTATAAAATCAATTTTGGAATGGGAATGTGTGTGTTCTGGAAGGGTGGGGAAGGGAGGTTAAAAATCAAAGCTGAGCTCCAGTGAGTAGGGATGGGGTTCGCCTTGCTGCCCTGTGAAAGGAGAAGGGACAGATTGAGTCAGAGTTCCTCAGAAATGTTGTGCCCTAAACCCCCAAGACAGAAACATCTGTCCATTGCATGTAACACATTTTGGTAAAGCATAACATTACACTGGGAAGGGAGAGCCTCTATAGAACCATCACCTCTACCAGTGACTGTCTTCACAATTCAATTATCAGTAGGTGACAAAAATTTACTAAATATATGCCTATATTCCCACAAGGGTCTTAAAAACAAAAATCTACAAACATTCATTTGATAATCAGCAGTTTGGACAAAGAAATTATAGAAAAGCCAGGCCAACAGACATGAAGAAGTGAGCAAATGTCAAATAATCAAAATTATGAAGGGGAATGGTCTACCATGAAGATACATACTAGAGATGACATCTAGTCTCAAAACCTGTAAAGTGATCAGACAACAAGACCTGATAGGTTCTATAGGGGGAAAGATGTTTATGTAAGGAAGGAGCACATCATAAAAATTAATAAATAAGGAGCTCATCATTCCAGTGACAGAATGAAAAACCACAAATGGAGAAAAGATTACTAGAGTTACTGAGTAATGTCATAAAGTGAAAATTATGGTCCTTAATGGATTTGTTTTTGTGGTCTGTTTGTAAGCTAGTATACACAGCTAATTCCAAGATATGAATTCTAAGAATGTGACACACACCACACTAAAAAATAACATGCATGACAAATTGTTTCATCAGCTACAAGATTTGCAATTAGGCTGTAGGTTTTTTTTAGAAAATAAGAAGGAAATCACCACCCTCATATTTTAATAGTCAGCCAAATGGTCTTATTCTTTACAAATGTCAGTAAACTAGGGGGACCTGGCTGGCTCAGTTGGTAGAGCATGAGACTCTTGATCTCAGAGCCATGAGTTCAAGCTCCACGTTGGGTGTAGAGCTTACTTCAAAAAGCAGGAAAAAAAAAAAAAAAGATCAGGGCAGCCTAGGTGGCTTAGTTGGTTAGGCATCTGACTCTCGATTTCAGCTCAGGTCATGATCTCAGAGTTGTGAGCTCAAGCCCTGCATTGGCCCTGGAGCCTGCTTAAGAATTCTCTCCCACTCCCTCTGCTCCTCCCCCTCAAAAAAAAAAAAAAAACCTTAAAAAAAATAATAAAAATTAAAAAGTGTTCCTTGAGTCAATTATGTGTGGATGACTACAGCAACATAACAGGTACTAAACCTCTAAAATTTTAACTGTAAATTTTTCCAAGAGTGTGGGACTCAATCTCAGGGTTGTGGGTTCGAGCCCCATGTTGGGTGTAGGGATTACTTAAAAAAAAAATCTTCAAAAAAAATTGTACAAACCATAAAAAAAGTTGTAGAAAACGCACACATTTGAATATTATCTCTACGGCAGTGTTTGTGATGTCCAGTTATGGTGAAACTTTCAATTTTTTTAAGTCACAGCTTGAACCTGGTACTCAGAATCTTCAGGGTATGTTAAGTAACTTTGTGGCTCGTCTACAAATAAAGCCTTTGCACATGTGTCGCAAGACAAACGCTCACCAGGAAGATGAAAAGCATTTACATTTTTGAAAGTCATCAAGAGGTCTTCCAAAAAGTTATGTTAAATTGATGAGCTACCAACTCAAAAAAAAAAAGACCAGTTTTAGTGCCTAATTATAATGCTTTGCAATTAACAGTATACCTAAATTATACTTTGTCAAACCTCTGGGAGGTTTGGATCCCTTCCTCTAAAGCACTATTCTCAAAGTGTGGGTTGCCAACCGGCACCAAGTGGCACTTATTAGAAATGCAAATTACCAAGGCCCACACCAGACTTAATTAGAAACTGGTGGTGGAGCCCAGCAATCTATTTTAACTATTCCCCTTACTGATTCTGTTGGTTCACATTTAAGAACCACTATGAGAGTTTAATGGGGAACCCCTATCCCATAGTTAAGAGTGGTATAAAGTAAATCCAAGATCATCATGACTTACCATAGTAAATGCACCAAGAAAATCAAAAAACCCCACGGTAATCCTTTTTCCCCTTTATAAGCCCCAACTTTCTAATATCTAAAAGAACACTTGCAGTTACGCTACATCACATAATGCTGGTTTTCACCTGTCAATTCTCTAATATGTAAAAACCATCATCTTCCCTGACCCCAACCAGAATGAATATACGTATGAAATATGAGCAAATAATGTTCTCCAAAGACAATTATAAAGCTACTTCAAGACTGTTATTTAGATAAAAATCAATATATAAAAACTGCTTTTAATATAACTTTATACACTTCAGCCTTCTGACAAATGACTTGAGTAGAAATCAAATTAAAATAGGTAAAATGTCTAAGCCCCCTTGTTAAGTATAAAACTGAAATCCCTAACTTTTGATTTGCCTAATACAATAACGTGGGGGTGAGGGAGATGGGGATACAGTTCTCTTCTCTTAGGCCAAGATTCTTTCAACTGTCTCTCCCCAGTTAACATCTTAGATAATGACTACTTAATATAATTTTTATTAGAATTAACGATTTTGGATTTATTCCTTGCTTGTTCTTACAGCAATTCCATCCAAAACGAAGATGCATGCATGCATGCTATGTGAAACCCACTAATGCCCTAATCACAAATATAAATGTTTAAAATCTCTGCAGAAGGAATAGCAACCAACACCAAGCATTCCAGTGCAACAAGCATGGGAAACACAAAAAGGTCGGAAGACCTCCAACTTAGGCATCCTTCTTAAATCCTTCTTCTTTAGCCACATGAAAATGCTATTAAAGCCTATCTGAAAACCCCTTCTAAAATTGTTTCAGACATTAATTCTGGGGCCAAATCTTTCCAGATGGATAGTAACTCAAAGGAACTGTTTCCTTGGTACATGCTGATCCCAAGAAACCCAATATTTCTAACAGGTCAAGGCAAGAAAAGTGCCCTTCAGTTATTTTCAATTTTTATCAACTGTTATTAAATATTAATTCCTTACATTTCTATTTGCCAACGATATTTTTATTACGTTTATGAGTTAAATCAACTAATCACTGCCCTTACCTCATTTCTAACAGTTCTGCAGTGATATAAACTTTAGTTTTAAGCACATGTAATAATAGACATGTTTACGTATTTCCTAAAGAGCAATGCTTTTAATCCCTATTACATTATCTACACGGTGAGGGAGTTGACAAATGCATTCACCATTCCGGATAAAGTACTTTTACCTTCTATCGGTTTGCTAAGGGATGATTTTATCCTTCAGTATTGGTTTAAACTTTGCGTAACAGTTTCTGTGAGAGAACACACTATGAAAATGAAATCTTCCCCTTCCCCAAGTATCCAAAAAAAAAAAAAAAAGCGATCTCTTGGATAAGTGAATATGATACTACTTAGAAACACCTATGTAATTTTTATAAACCTAGCGAACATTTTTCCTAAGTTTCAGGACTTAGCAAATAGTGGGCACAATTCTACTTTCTTAATAAAAAGTATGGTTTTAAGTACATACTTTTCAGATAGGTATTTTGGAAAATCAATGCCATAATACCCTGAAAGTCAAATTTTAAGTTTATATTAGAATGTTAAATTAATAGTAACTGCCAATTCTCGTAATTAAATATTTTTCCCAAGTGCAGTTTGGGAATTTCCAGTTACCCCTAGTGACTGCTGTAATTAGGTTCTCGTAAAAAATTCAAATACAGTACTATCAATACCTACTATTCCAATAGCTAAGTAAAAAACCACTTGACTAACCTAGTAGAGTCAAATTCCTTAGTAGTTCCGCTACTCATTTATTATGACCCTGGCAACCGACACTCTTGTGCCTCTGTTTCTGTCTGAGAAAGATAGTAGTACCTACCTCAAGCAAAGTTCCACTAACTTATATATTTCAAGTGATTTGTAACCTGCAGATAAAAAGTAAGCCAGCTTTAATTATTACTGTTAATATGTAAATGAGATTACAATATTTTTTTAAAAATAGAATTGAAAATAACTACTTCGAGGTCCGCCGTTGCTCAGAGAGGTGTAAAATAAACAATGATCAGTAAAACATTTAATCTATTGTTATAATATTTACTACTCTTACGCCCTGCGGTACGCTCCAGAATTTAGAGGCTCGCAGTACCATATCTACTTGGTAACCCTTACCCATCCCCCGCCCAATTTTTAAATTTAACAGGAAGCATCAGCATTACGTGAACTTCAACTGTATTAATGAGCATCTCGATCTTCCCTTTCATCTCTCTCTCTCGGAGTCCTCATGGTCGTAGAAAATGAAAGGAAAGCAGCCGTTAACACAGAAAAAGAGCAAAAAAGAAAAAGAACGTTTTCCCTGCCGATCGTGGCCTAGAGGACACTAGGTTAAATCTGCGCAAGGGCTGAGGCCTATAAAACTTTCTCCTGCATAAAACCCAATGCCCCAACGCAAACAGAATAAATGGAGGCCTGGTTACTCTACCGAGGATAGGGTTCCCTCGGTCTTCTCTCCCACACCCCCTCGCGCTCGCCGAGGAACCCAGCGCCTGCCCTGCTTCTGCCCCCTCCACTTACCAGGAGGGGGAAGGGAGAAGAGATTCGATTCTGAATCTCCTACTCCCGAGTTCTACGTGGAGAGGCCAACTGCTGCTCGAGGTCGACAACGCGGCCACACCGCTCAGTCTTCGTCTCTTCACAAAATGGCCCCCGCGTCTCCTCTGCCGCCGAGGCGAAGGCCTAGCCCCCGCCCCGCTCCCGAGAATCATGCTATTGGCTGCGACTTTTCTCGCTCCCGCTTCTAATTAGACAGTTCTACCGCTCTTCACAATTCTGCCCAATCACAATCAGCAGTGGGTTAGACTATGCAGGAGAATTTCCACATGCGTGAGAGAAACTAGTTTGTAAATGGCTACTTTTCCTGTCATTTATCACCTGAGAAGTGCTTATTGGCCACTGTACTTGACGAAGCGCTGGGTGGTAACGCGCCTTTGTATCGCGCACCGCTTCACATCCGGGTATCTGGGAGATCTGATTAGCGGCTGTATTCTCCTATCCCTGCTCCTTAGAGCGCCTAGCAGAAGGCCCGCCCAGATCTCGGAATTCCCGCGGCGCGGGGGCGGGGAAAAGACTGGGGGATTTTGTTAGGTATCGGCTCGAAGAATCTGCTCTAGCACTCGGCCTAGGAAAAAGGTGGCGCGCTTAGTGAATCCTCCACCGAACGTAGCTAAAGAGAGGACTTTTCTTAGGGGAGGGAGCAGTGAAGACCAGGCTGCAGAAAACTCACCAACCCTACAGTTTTTCAACCCTAGATCCCTTCTCAGTTCTGGACTCAAATGTCAGCTCCCTCCTGGATCCACTTGTCAGCCTGTCAAGCCCTTCTTCATACAAACCGTATGTCACCCAAACCAACTGACTTCCTTATTCCTTTCCACTACAAGAAGTAAAGGAAGTCTAAAGTGCTGGCCTGGAATACTATGCCCACCCTCTGGCCTCCAGCCATCCTGCTGATATCCTACATGCCAACCAAATTGGCTTACCCCTCTGTCTCCCCCCGCCTCCCGAAATGACCTACAGTCTATGGGATCACCACCTGCCCGGTCCCTCTGGTTATATTGCAGCAGCCCTGAACTCAGTAAGAAATAGGTCCAGCCCTTCTAAGGAGGGAGATTCCCTTGTGCCGTTAAGGAAAGGAAGATACAGAACACCTGATAACGTGATTACATCTGTATCCATTTTAAGGGGTAAATGTATATGTGAATGCAGTTTTATGCATTAGCTTTGAATTAATTCTGAATTGCAGATAGATTCACAACGAAGCTGTCTGTTACCTGTCAAATGACAAAACAAACAATTTTGTAACTAGCTTGATGTCCTTCCTTCCCAAGGGAAAACCATCCACGGATTGGGAGAATACGGTGCCTCACAAGTAATGGAGCCTTCTACTAGAGGGCGTTTGGGCAACCGCGACTTTTACAGAGCATTAGGTGCGGCAAATCAAAACAGGCCTGGAGATGCATATCTCACCTTATTTACAAAGGTCAAGGAGCAAGGAAGTAAGTTTGGGAGCCCAGCGTTGACTTGGCTTTTGGGGATTGGCTGACAAGCTATACAGCGTTTCTGGTCAAGAAGAATTTATTTATTTTTTTTAAAAGATTTTATTTATTTATTTGACAGAGAGATAGAGAGAGCGCACAAGTAGGCAGAGCGGCAGGCAAACGGAGAGGGAGAAGCAAGCTCTCCGCTGAGCAGGGAGCCCGATGCGGGACTCGATCCCGGGACTCCAGGATCATGACCTGAGCCGAAGGCGGCCGCTTGACCGACTGAGCCACCCAGGCGCCCCTGGTCCAGAAGAATTTAAATGAACACCAAAGTTTGGGTTTCCGGGACGTGATCCCTGGCAGGAGGGACTCCATCTTGGACCTAGAAATTTATTTTAACGTCCCTCTGGGGAGCGGACCTTTTACCTTTTTAAGTGGTATGCCTTTTTATACTACTAGATTTTTTTTTGCCATATGCATGTATTGTTTTTCAGCTAACTTGAAAAGCAAAAACAAAAGCATGTAAAAAAAATACCAAAATACTAATAGTGATTCTTTTTGTGGGAGAATTACAGGTGCTTTTTGTTTTTTTAGGGTTTTTTTTTTTTGCTTGTGCTTTTCTGTATTTTCCAAATTGTCAACTCTGAACAAGTAATCATTCTCCAGGTGCTTAATGCCAGCTCAATTGCCACATTGCATTGGAAACTCACAGCTCTATGGTTAATCTTACACTCATCTCTCCTGGATGGTAAGGTTTTATTAAAAAAATGTTTATTATTGAAGTATAGTTGACAATGTTATAGTAGTTTCAGGTGCACAACCTAGTGATTACACAGTTTTATACATTATGCTATGCTCACCACCCACAATAAGTGTAGTTACCATATAATGTCATTATAATATTATAGGCTGTATTCACTATGCTATCCTTTTCGAATCTGTGGCTTCTTCCTTTTATAAATCGAAGTCTGTACCTCTTAATCCCTTTCTCCGTATTTCACTTATCCCACCCACTCTCTCCCCCTCTGGCCACCACCAGTTCTCTGTATTTATGAGTCTGTTTCTGTTTGGTTTTTTTTGTTTTATTTTTTAGATTCCACATATAAGTGAAATCATATGACATTTGCCTTCTCTGTCTGATGTATTTCACTTAACATAATACCCTCTAGGCCCATCCATGTTGTAAATGGCAAGATCTCATTCTTTTTAATGGTTTAGAAATATTCCATTGTGTGTATATAAACATATATATCATCTTTATCCATTTATCTATTTTTTAAAAATTTTTTTAAGATTTTATTATTTATTTGAGAGAGAGGGATAGAGCACAAGCAGGGGGAGCAGCAGAGAGAGAGGGAGAAGCAGGCTCCCCACTGAGCAGGGAGCCCGATGCGGGGCTCCATCCCAGGACCCTGGGATCATGACCCCAGCCGAAGGCAGACGCTTAACCGACTGAGCCACCCAGGCGCCCCCATTTATCTATTGATGAACACTTAGGTTGCTTCCATATCTCGGCCATTATAAATAATGTTGCAATAAATATAGGGGTGCATATATCTTTTCCAATTAGTGTTTTCGTTTTTTCTGGGTAAATAGCCAGTGGTGGAATCACTGGATCATATGGTATTTCTATTTTTAGTATATGTGCTGCCGAAGCGAGCACAGGTATTTCTATTTTTAATTTCTTAAGGTACACCCATACTCTTTTCCACAGTGATTGCACCAAAAATTTACATTCCCCACCCTCCCCAAATTTACATTTTCCTCCATCAGGCCAGGAGGGTTTCTTTTCTGCACATTCCTACCAACATTTCTTATTTCTTGTGTTTTTGATTTTAGTCATTCTGACAGGTGTGAGGTGATATCCCATTGCGGTTTTGGTTTGCATTTCCCTGATGATCAGTGATGTTGGGCATCTTTTCATGTGTCTGTTGGCCATCTGTATGTCTTTGGAAAAATGTCTGTTTAGGTCTTCTGCCCATTTTTAATTGGATTGTTTTTTTAGTGTTGAGCTGTGTTAAGTGTTTTTTTGTTTTTTAATTAAGTAGGCTCCATGACCAGCAAGGGGCTTGAACTCATGACCCTGAGATCAAGAGTCACATGCTCTACTGCCTGAGGCAGCAAAGCATGCTGCTGTATAAGTTCTTTATATATGTTGAATTTAACTCCTTATTGGATATATGTTTTGCAAATATCTCTTCCCATTCAGTAGGTTGCCTTTTCCTTTTGTTGATGGTTTCCTTTGCTGTGCAAAAGTTTTTTATTTTGGTGTAGTTCCAGTAGTTTATTTTTGCCTTTGTTTCTCTTGTCTGAGGAGACATTATCCATAAATACCTTGCTCAAGCTGATGTCAAAGAGATTACTGCCTGTATTTTCTTTTAGGAGTTTTACGGTTCCAGGTCTCACATTTATGTCATTAATCCATTTTAGTTTATTTTTGTGTAAGTAAAGTGTAAGTGGTCCAGTTTCATTCTTTTGCATATAGCTGTCCAGTTTTACTAATACCATTTATTGAAGAAACTTTTTTTCCTCATTCTATATTCTTGCCTCCTTTGTCATAGACTAATTGACCATGTAACTATGGGATTATTGCTGGGTTTTCTATTCTGTTCCATTTATCTATGCATCTGTAACCATATTTTTTCAATTGCTATAGCTTTGTAGTGTATCTTGAAATCTGGGATAGTGATACGTCTAGTTTTGTTCTTCTTTCTCCAGATTGCTTTGGCTCCTAGGGTCTTTTGTGGATTATTTGTTCTAGTTCTGTGAAAAATACTATTAGTATTTTGATAGGGATTGCATTAAATCTGTAGATTGCTTTAGCTAGTATGGTCATTTTAATAATAGTAATTTTTCCAATCCACGATCTTGGCATTTGTTTCCATTTATATCTTCAATTTCTTTCATCAGTGTCTTACAGTTTTCAGAATACAGGTCTTTCACCTCCTTGGGTAAGTTTATTCCTAGGTATTTTATTCTTTTTCTTTTAATTTTATTTTATTATGTTATGTTAATCACCATATTCTTTTTGATGTAATTGTAAATGGGATTGTTTTCTTAATTTCCCTTTCTGATAGCTCATTATTAGTGCATAGACATGCAACAGATTTCTGTATATTAATTTAGTGTCCTGAAGTTTTACTGAATTTATTTATTCTAACAGTTTTTTTGGTGAAGATTTTAGGGTTTTCTCTATGTAATATCATGTCATCTACAAAGAGTGACAGTTTTATTTCTTCCTTACAAATTTGGATGCCTTTTATTTCTTGTCTGATTATTGCAACTAGGACTTCCAGTACAATGTTGAACAAAAGTGGCAAGAATTGACATTCTTCTCTTGTTCCTAATTTTAGAGGAAAAATTTTCAGTTTTTCAGCATTGAGTATGATGTTAACTGTGGTTTTGTCAAATATGGCCTTTATTATTTTTAGGTATATTCCCTTTAAATCCACTTTGTTGAGAGTTTTTATCATGAATGGATGTTGAATTTTGTCAAATGCTTTTTGTGCATCTATTGAGATGATCATGTTGTTTTTATCCTTCATTTTGTTATTGTGATATGTCTTGTTGATTGATTTGTGGATTTTTAAAAAATATGTATTTATTTTAGAGAGGGAGTGAGGGGATGCACATGGCTGGGTGGGGGAGGGGAGGTGCAGAGGGAG